TCTTGTGCTGCATTCACTTGCACTCGGACATTAGGGGTTTTCTTTCATAAATGAGCCACAACTTTTATTTCAAAACAAAGCTGACGTTTTCTGCCAGACGCTGCCTCCTCTCTCACTTTAGGTAACTTCACAAAAAATCGATCCATGTTGCCGCTCGCATAAAGTTGGCTGAAGTTGACTAGCTAGATTTCACTATTTCTCGTTATTTTTTTCTGACGCTGCGCCTCCCCTGAAGCTCTCTGGCGCCCCCCTGGGGAGGCGCGCCTCACACTTTGAAAACCGCTGTCTTAGAGTGTATATATCCTTTACTTTTTGCATTATTTTAATTTGTTGCTGCAGTCTTAACCACCCCTGTCTTTGTTTACCTATGATTTCTCCAGGAGGGTGGTGTGGTAGGAGTTGACATGGAGTGGCAGCCCACCTTTGGCTGTATCTCCACTCAGAGAGTGGCCCTGATACAGCTTGCTGCTTTGGATCAGGTTTTCTTATTAGACCTTTGTGTAGCTGGATTCTGTCAACACCCTGGGACTGTTAGTTTCATCAGGAGCTTGTTCTCTGACAGGAGCATCATCAAACTGGGTAAGAAACATACTTAAGTAAGGTTAAATCAATTTCATCTGAGGCATTTCTGTTTATAATTTCCATCTCTGACATTCTTCCTATTCAGGTTATGGTATGTCAGGAGATATCAAGTGTCTCCTGGCCACTTGGCAGCAGCTTTTAGAGGAGCCATTAAAGATGGAGGGGGTGCTTGATCTTCTTAAAATACACCCAAAGGTAAAATTCACATACATGTTCACAATATATTTACATGTTCTGACATAGATAGAACAACCTGTCAATCGATAAATCTAGAGACTACTCTGCAGATTCGTTGTAGCCCTACTGTATTGTTTTTACTTTATTTGTTTCAAAACAGCAAATGTGGGTGCCTATGAATTGGGTTTGTGCTTCTATTTCCTTTAGTATAACATTAAGCATACTACAGTGCCAGGCAAGATTCTCAGCCAAGAGAAATGTGTCCCAGCAGTAGGTGTACAGAAGTATGGCGTGGGTTTTGATACTTAAGAGTGTCTGGAACTGAGTAGCCTGGTTCAGCTCAGTAAGCACCAGTGTTGGCATTGCCATTGTCCCCCATCCAACTCGGGTTAGAGGACGAGGGGATTGTAACTTTTGGTTCTGTGTTTCATTGCATGGTCATAACTCAGGTACATCCTGCAGCTGTGGCCCAGTAGTTTGCCTGAGATATATGTAGCTAAGTCTCTGAGGTGGATAGGAATGTGGAAACGGCAACAAGGGTCTGTTACCCATGAGGTCACCTCACCATCTGCTGGAGTACGCTGCATGCTGCAGGATCTGAGGAATCCAAGAAATGTTTTTGAAAATCACAGAGAAAGGAATGTCTGAGTGAAAGAGGATGTTGTAACAGGACATTAAAGCAGTAGGCATCTGCCACTAAATGGATGTTAAAAAGTGGAGTGGTCCCACTTTCAAAATGAGGTGTTCTACTGACTTTGGTGTCACATCATTGCAGCAATGATTACATAATTAGAGTATCCACCTCCTAATACAGATCAGCTCTAAAATGTAATGAAACATACTTCACCCTTCCATCAAGTTTCATCAAAATCGAGCCTTTACTGGAGTTATTTCATAATCCTGTTGACAGGAAAACATAATCACCTTGGCCGAGGTCATTCATAGATTTGCTTAACAGCTCTTTAGTCGATGAATCTGAAGTATGGACCTAACCATGTTATTCTGACTTTGAATTTCTATAATGTTGTCTACAGATCCAGCGTCAAAAGATCAACAGGCCTCAGAATGGACCCAAAGAGGTGCTGGTAGGAGAGGGCTCCTCAGAGAAAGGCCTCAGTCTGCTGGTACAACAGGTCCTCAAAAAGCCCCTGGACAAGACCGAGCAGATGTCCAACTGGGAGAAACGGCCAATGCGCATCAGCCAAATTAGATATGCAGGTACGGTATAATGCACACACAGACAATGACAGCGAGACAGATGGTTGATGCTCTTTTCACTATAGAACAGATTATTTCGTTATCCCCTGACGAGCTGCTAACCAATACATTCACCCCTCTCCCTCTCTTGTTTTTTTTAACGTCCATCTAGTGGCAGATGCCTGCTGTTTGCTGGAGGTGTACTCAGTCCTATCCAGCAATCCAGATCAATTTGGGCTACCGTCGGACCTGCGCAGCATCATGTCCCGCCAATCAGAGAAAAGAGGAGGCAAAAAGAAGAATGAGGAAAAGTCCTGTGACAAAGAGGTCAGGAGTCAAATCTTCCAGCAATAGTTGTTTTTGATGGTTTTCAACTGATACCAAATGGCTTGAGTAGTGGATGTAAGGACAAATGAATCCTTCAACATTTCGTCTTATACAGAAAGGCTGAAATCAAGAGCGGGACATTTCATCATGAGAATGTGGAAGAATCCATTAGGTACCTGAGCAGTTCCTGACCCTGACATGTTCATGTTTGACTCTGAATACGTTTGATACAGTATGGTCCTCCTCTCACAGTTCTGTGCAACTTCTCATGAATAAACAACCTGAGAAAAAACCAGCAGGTAACTTTAGGAGGGCCTTGTATCAGAATAGTATTTGAAATGCTTCATGTCACCCCACAATCAAAAAATAATATTTACCAGTAGACCTCTTTTTCATTCTAGATAGTTGTTCTGTGTGAGTTGCAGAGTGTTTGAGGCATCAGCTGTAAAGGCGTCTGCTTCACATCAAATGCAATGGAACTAGATGGTACTTGGCTTGTGGTTCCAAAAATCGGTTTAAAAACCTCATCATCCATGTCTCCTTCCATAAATCATGACCCTAAGCAGATGCACACTTTATTCTATGCGGTGGTATGGTTGGCGGATGTAGTTTAGTAAAATAAATTGTTTCTTTGAGAACATTTTAGCACCAATATCAGTTGATCATCTTGAGTAATTGGGTCATGATTTCTGCTACTAAGAGCAACATAAACAGAGTGCCATGTAGTTCCATTATTGAGCAGGCAGTCAACTCTAAGGGCCATACTTCAAAGACTCAGCAACTCACACCAAAGTCAACAGAGTTATGTTTGATGTTTGTTTAACTTCACAAACTGCAATGAATTGGATCAAACCCACTTAAAGAACAAACTGCGAAACCTAGATTTGAGCGTCTAACCTGCATGGGGAGATAATGTGTTTGACCGAGAAACTTCAGCAGCTCCTCGCAGCTCCAGGGGTGCGTTTGTAAAGCTCTCCCTGTGCTTTGACCTCCCTGCACTGCGGTGCAAGTGAAAAGAAAATCCCCCTGTGGGGATCAGTTAAGTATCACATTATTGTCTCTGTCCATTTAGGAATGTCAGGGGGCTCAAAGGGTCAGCCCCCCTCGCTCCGACAGAGAGAAAGGCCTCCTGTGTGGCGAGAAGCCTTCTGAAGACGCCCCCCCTCTGCCCCCCCAGCACTTGCGGGTGGTGTGTGACAACATGCTGCAGGGACTCGGGAGATACCTGCGCTGCCTGGGAGTCGATGTGATCATGTTGGAGAACACTGATGATCACAGAGTGGCAGCAAAGGTTAGTTAGACGTCCCAGCTTAAGACACATACCTTTTTATACTCATTCAACTAGATTAATCCTAAATTAAATATTTATTTTAAACTTCTGCTGAGGTTTACGAAAGGAAGCTTTGAATGACGGTCATATTTTATTATGTCATCACCCTAAAAATACAAAAATGAAATGTAATGTTAATGTATGTTCCTGTTAAGTTGCTTAAGGGCCGCCTTGTTAATACAGGTATGTTCCCCCCTAATGTGCAGCACAAAGAAGAGCAAACTGTTTTTAGAGCGCAGAAATAAAAGTGAAGTTTTTGAAGCACGAAGCGCTGATGGATCGATCGATAAATCATGCAAATATTGGAAATTGTTATATCATTGCCATTTTGTTTTTGATAAGTTTCATCTTTTGGATAACCTAGAATAAAATGTGTGTATATATGTGTTGTTTATGTTCTAATGTGTATTTGTTGTGTGTCAGTTAGCACAAGCTGAAGGCCGATTCATTCTTACGTGTGGACAACCGTATCAAACTGTGAGTACTTACTAATATCAACAAATCTGAAGTCCACAAACTGATGATGAACATGTTTATGTATGTTCCTTGTTTGCTTACACACTGCCTTTGTCTCCCCTCTTAGCTGCGGTCCCAGGTAGGAGAGGGTCGCTGTCTGTCCCTGGACTGTGCCGAAAAGGCCCGAGACCAGGCCGCTCAAGTCCTCCGACACTTCAATGTGCAGCTCAAGCACTGTGACATCTTCAGCCGCTGCCAGGTAAGGAAACTCACGCTGTTTCTCAATGTATTTATTAAATGAACTGTGTATAGTCTTTCGCATATAGTGGTCAGTTCCTTATTATTTCCTGAAATTCAATTTTAAATTCCCAATATGTATCACCTTAATTACAGTATTGAATACATCACAATATATTGAAGTAATCCAAGTATCATAACATGCATCCTACTGACTTCTTTTTGCCCTGCTTTACTTTCAATGAGAAAGAGGAAAAGGTTTGCGTTTCTATATCAGGAAGTAGAACTACTAATATGAAAACCCATGCAATATTTCTGTGGTTATAAAAAAGAGCCGAAGTTGAGAAAGGGGAAGTATTAAACATATAATAAAAGGAAATGGAGAAGTGGGGCATTAGAATACCAATAATAACTTAACTTTTCTGAGAAGATGGTGTTAATGACTAAGATGGTGGCTAAGAGAAGGAAATGTCATCAACAAGCACTCCGTACTGAAAGGATAAGCTAATCGGCTGCACCTTCATGTGAAAGGTGCCCTGTTGAGGTATTCTGGGTATGTTCAGACCCCAGGGCTGACCCAGGAGACACTGAAAGGGATAGCGTATCCCATATGGCCTTAATTGCCTCGGGCGTCCCAGGGGAGAGTTGAAGGAGAGATGAGCGGAGAGATGTCTGGGTTACCGTGTGAGCATTATATTTCTAGTCTGGGCATTTGAGCCATATTTGAGTCAAAGGAAAAACATCTTCATTTTTGTTTTAAACAGTCAATATCGAATTAGCCTAATCGTGGTTAGATTTTTTTATTCTTTTCCGTCCTATCACCACCTTGTCTTGGTCGATGGAAAAAAGGGTTGTTGACGAAATTAAACTGGATAAAAACCTTTCAGTGTTATAATCTTCTTTCCTCAGAAACAGAACATAAACATTGTCTACAGACACACACACACAAAGGTGCACTGCACTGCGTAATTCTAATCTGATGTGATCATGTTTGTGGCGCCGGGGAAATATGTTTGTTAGTCAGTTTGTTGCAACCGATCATTGTTGTACCTGACCTGTAGATATCTCCATGGGTGGCTGTTTGGGGAATTCTGTGTTTGTGTTTGTGTGTCTCTAGTGGAGGTTGAGATTTAGGGGGGGGGGGCTGGCTGGCTATCTGCAGGATAGTTTCTAAACTTGGGTGTTCTGGCATGCTCCTGGTAGGGGGCCTTAAATGTGTCAAGATACACCACTGGGTACATTTGTCTCACAGCCAAGATGTAAAAAACCTGGACCACCTTGATGCTACCTCCTGTCCTGATAATAAGATGATGACACACACACACTCACTCACTCACACACACACACACACACACACACACACACACACACACACACACACACACACACACACACACTCAGACCCCATTTACACGCATACGAAAATCAAACGAACCAAATACGATATCAAAAAAGTATTCACACGAGAGCGCTCAGGAGCGCTGGAGACGCTGTAGTACATATGCCGGGCCTGTACGTGGCGCTGTACTTTCGCCACAAAATACACCAAAAGCAGCGAAGAAGACCCCCGATCATGGTTGCCATTGTTGCCCCTCTGTTTATGCCCCGCGTGGATTTATCAACATGTAGTTCATGCAATCCTCAATGTCCACTTGTTGCTGATGGTTGTGGTAGAGGAGCTGTAGAGTTTGCACTAACATCTGTAGAATGGTCAGTAGATACTGTGAACAAACAGGCTCTACGAAAGAAAAAAAGTAGCGGATACAACCGTTTGTGTTCTCGTGTAAACAGCACATCACTCTGGCCAAATGGTCATCACCTACCTTTCCCATGTATTGGTCACTCCTGATGCCACTTCCAGGCAGAGTCACTTTGATATATTATGGCCATATGTGACTTTAGTGTTAAACGGCTCCAGTCACAGCTCGGTGCCTCAGATCTCCCCTTCACATCAGACGAGAAACTTGAGAAAAGTTTTGCCCTAGCATGTGGATAAACTTTTATGACTTATTTGGGATGGGTAACTTAGGGCAACATTTTTGGCCCCCCATCATTTTGTTTAATTGCAGTTTTAAAACATTTTTATCAAGGCCCTTCAATACAAAGTCAACAAGTTACTATATCAAATAATCGTGACCATTTCGATCAATAAAGGACACAAATAATTGTGATTCTAATTAATGCAAAATCGAGCAGCCCTATCTCTTCTCACTCTCTCTTTCTGTGTGTGTGTGTGTGTGTCACCCTGGGGGCTGCTCTCTGTGGCCCACCCAGGCGAAGTTAACCCCTTTGTTATCTGATTGTAAAGCTCTCTGATTAGCAATGGCTGGGTTAGTTTCTCTCTCTTTGTCTCTCTGTGTTTCTCCCTCATGCACATACACCACTGATCAATGTCATGAGGAGGGAGAAGTAACACACAAAAAAAGACAGAGGAGATTAACTGCAGACTTGTGTGTGTTAAGATTGTGCAGGGAAAGGGTTAATGTTGGTATCTGTGTATCAATAGGCCCAACACAGATTTTGGAGGCATAGGAATGTGTGTCCACTATGGAGACCCCAAATGGAGAGAGGGACAGAAAAGGGCCTCCTGTGTAACTGTCTGCATACTTGCCTGTACTTGCTTACGATGCAAGGGTTAAAATGAAAAAGAAAAATGTATGTTTCAATCCCTATTCATGTTGTCGGATGGATTTATCTACAATCTGTTTATTATTAGTATGGCTCTGAGAGAACTTGACTCTCAGCTGAGCGTTTTTATTTATTATGATGTCATTCACTCTATTACTGTTACTTTATTTTATTATTATTTATGTTTACTACCTTGAAAAGGATGCATGGGATGGTTAAATAAAAGTAAACCCGAGAGTTTCCTGGCCAAAATGATTTGCCGGAAATTGCACAAATCATGTTATCTTATATTTTGTAAAGAAAAATATAATTTAATGGGACAAACAGCTTTTTTAACAACCTCTTTAGTAAAATCAAACTATCAAATTATACTCAAATATATAAAAGATACATAAAAAACAATGACAATGGCAACGTTGTGCGACTCCGCTCTTTTCCGATTCGTGATAGAATCTGATATTATCCATACTTGAAAAAAGTATTTACTGTAAAAGAGGAAGAATCTTGCTCACTTTAAAAAAAAAAACACTTCTGCCTGCAGTAAAACTGGATTCTGTATTTCCCAGCGTTGACATGTGTCACGGTGTTAAACCTCTGTCTTCAGTCCTTACATTTCATCTGTGTGGATTCCTGCACCGGGTTGGGTATGAGGGTGGAGTTGGCTATTGGTCCATGACAGTTTCCTTATTCAGCTCTATCCTATCCCTACCACTAATGCCTGCTGCCTCTATACTTTCCATGAAAACACACACAAACACACACACTACCGTTGGGCTATGCAGTTCCATCAGATGTCCCGTACTGGCCTTTTATAGACATGTTGGGATAGCAGAGATATCCTGAGAGATAGACATTAAGCCAGCCACACACACACACACACACACACACACACACACACACACACACACACACACACACACACACACACACACACACACAACACACACACGACAGTGAACTTACCTCCTCCTCCTTGGGGAATATCCTCTGGCGGGAGTTGACTGGCTTCTTGTTGTCGTCCACCTCGTAGTCTTCCTCGTTCATCCACTCATTGAACGAGTCGGTGTCTATAACCCACTTTGCATGCACCTGAGTGGGAAGGAGACAGAGTTTGTGGACAGTTCCTCAACATGATCAAGTCTGAGTGTAAAGGTTTATTATTCCATCCAAGAAGTGTCACATCAACACTTCCACCCTGAATTTCATCAATTGGAAATCATTTGACCAATTATTTAGTGCTGCTGGACACAATGACTGCTTGCTCACAAAAGCAGCAGTTATTCCTCCAATTGGTTTTCTTTTGAGATAAACATCCCAATACAAATGTTAAAAATGAATTGAAAGATATGTTTCTCTATTAATGCCAATGTCTTGGTTAAAATATATGAGTTTGTTTTCACCTTCCATGGCTCGTCATTGCTGGGGGGGTCCTCCACGTCGCCATCCACCTCTGCTGCTGACACCCAGGTATCATAGCTGATAGAATAAATAAACAAGCCAGCGGTAAGTACAAGATTCATGAACTGACATGCTGCACCCAGAAATAGAGAGGTTTTCTTATTAGAATGAAAAATATAATCCTCCCAATGAATTTAGATTTAAAAATATGGATATGTATTGATCAGTGTAGTATGGAAATTGTAGGGGTGGGAATCACCTGGCTCCCCACGATACAATACT